GCTGGTCATGGATAGAAACACCATCAGAGTTTAACAAAAATTGTATTCTATAACATTCTTTTAAATTTGTCTATTTCATGCTGCCTTTTAAGAAATGTTCTTCACTGGAATGGGAAAATAAGAGCCACACATGACATAGTCTGTTCTTTAAAACAATATTTGAATTAAATACGTTTATTATGATCAAGAAATAATGTATTAGACCTCCTGCTCATTTTTCAATATACAGAAAATATAAATAGTAAAGAATATCTTTAAAAACTTATTTCTAAATTTTGGGCATCACAATAGATTGCTCTATTTAAACCTATATCTCAATTTTTCTGGCAATGCTGCTTTTATTTGGAACAAAATGTGGTTTAGCTTCTCTCCATTTCTTTTACATTATATTTAAAAGTAATACTGAAAAAGAAATATTCAATTTCATTCTTTATAGCTACATAAATAAAATTTTATAATTTCCTAAAAGACATTCTGTAATGCCTGATTCTATATCCCATATAAGTTAGTATTTTCCTCCAGAATATTTTACAAATTATAAAGTTTTATACCTTATTCTTGATTTTTTACGTAGAATATGAAATTTCAGTATTACTAATTAGTTTACTATAGAATTTCTGGTTTTGTCAGCTTTTGTTATTTTTAACAATTTGGAATGAAATAGTAAAGTAAAAATAATGTTAAGTTGCATTATATCAAAACATATTTCAATGTAGATTATTAAATACATTGGTTAAATAATTTTTATGTAGCTTATATTTCTCATAAATGCAATTTATAATATGTCAAGGCATTAAACAAAACAAAGCTTCCTCAGATATACAGAATTATATTTGCACAATGGTTTTCATACATATGGGATTTAATTCTTTGTTTCCAAGGCACTGTTTCTGGATGTGGCATGTTAATAAACAAATGCTTTGTAACAAAAACCAGGCAAAAAAAACATAACCCTTACTTCATAAGGCAATATCCAACAAGATACACTTAATCCTGAAAAATTAAGATACCTTTCACTTACTTCAAAATGAAAACAAAATAAATATTTAACCATGGAATTTAAGATCTTGTTCATCAGTTAGCCCAATGTCTTTATTTTAAAGATGTTCAGCAACTTCCTCAAACTTATATAACTATTTGTGGCAGAGTCAGAATAAGACCCCCAAGTTTAATTCTCTTTTGCTTTTTACTATTCCATTCTTGAACTTCTTAAGACAGAATTATAAAAATTTTAGAATTCAATTACCTATTAGAAAGGAGAACTTTATATTGTATATTAACCTACAATGAAGGAAGTGATTACAATGCTAAAAACTAATATTCATCTAAGATAGCAAAGCAATGGCATTTACCTTAAATTTACGTCTCTGCTCTGCACAGCTGTTGAAGAACCACAAGTCTGTCTCATGGCTGTAAATGTAACAAGAACAATAATGCGACCAATTTTCATATCTAAACTAAATTAAGTAGATTTGTCATAGGCTAGAAAATTGAAAATGTATTTTACAAATTGTTTTTTTAATTTACAGATTATGGAAGTGTGCATGTGTGTATGTGTATGTGGGCATTTGTGTGTGTGTGTGGTGTGGTGTGTTAACTCAGTCTTTCTAAACTGAAAATTAGTTTCATGAAATTGAAAGGATTAAGTATTATTCTTTTTGGCTAACTTTCCTCATTGTGGATCACTATGAATATATCAATTCTAGGAAGTGCTAGGGTAGATTTAAATAAATAAAACAAATTAAAGTGAGAAGCTGTCTTTGACTGTTATTATTAGGATATGTTTTCTGGGATACACAGTAAGAATGTAAAGCAGAAACATCTGGTAACGCTTAAGTTAATATTGGCTCCCATTTGCATCACAATCTTTATATATTATTCATCAATATGCCATTAATCAATGTACTTGCTGATTGCACCTATTCAATTGGTGTTTCATGTCATGAGTAGATTATGTAAACATGTTTCAAATACATATATTCAGATATCTATACATGAAAGTGAAATCACTACTGCAATTGGCACTCAAGCTTGTCAGATGTGATGTTTTCTTCTTTCCATTTTGCATTAGACATGCTAATATCTATGCCATCTGTAGCACAAAATCCTGAACAAATGTAAATGAAAAAATAATAGTAGATAAATACTAGTCTACTAAAAACAGACTCTGTACCATGTCACACTTCAAATCTGGCCACCACTTCTTAACACAGAAAATAAATTCAGGTGAATGTTAACAAGCAACTGAATATTGTTCTTGTGACTTGAGCCATCAAAACAGGTTTTTAAATCTGTATTTTTTTTCAAACTTCATAAAGTAGTTCTCTATCAAAATTATACTTTAAAATAAAAAATACAAAGTATCTCTTTTGGTCCACTAAAGATGTTATGCCTGTCATATTAAGAGCCATCATAATCGATTAATACCAAATACCTTGCCTTGCACATACAGATTTTGAAACATTTTCAATTATCCTTTTGAAATGTAAAGATAATACACTAACTATTATGAAAGTTTGGTTAAACACTTAGTTACGTAGAAAAAGATCTTAGTTTTGAGAGATTCATATAAGAGAACTTTTAAAATGTTAATTTCATATTAAATTACTGAAAATTTTAACAAAAAAATTGTACCCTTTTTTAAAACATTAGTGGCAAATAGTGCAACTCATGATATTTGAAGATACAAAGATAAGCATTACCTAATATACCTGTTTAACAACAGATGTGTAAGCTAGTATCAGATGCTGTTAAGCTTGTATTAGATTTTTAATACAATCCCAGCATGTCTCTAGTTGCTAAGCTTATCAAGTCCTATGAAATACTAAAAATGAAGGCTCACATTATATTAATTGCAGTGTATATTTTGGTGAATAAGTCTCATTCAATATTTCTAAATTCTCATTCATAAAACGCAATTTCTCATTCGTATGATATTTTGGCATGAGATCTCATTAAAATTACAAAATAATACTGAAATGCTAGTTTTATAGTCTAAACAATGGAGATATATTCAGATTAATATGCATCACAAAATGAAAAACAAGTGACACAGTGAAAGTCTTTGTAGTCATGGTCAGCAACTGCAATTGTCAAAAGGTATTTATAGGAGTTTTAATCATTCTTTTATGCTAAAATAACAAAATTGGAGACTTCTGCTCAAAATTTTACTTATGCATTGATAAACAGACAACGATTTCTCATTTTAGAGCCATTAATATTCCCACATTCTATTGTGGGTATTTTGTAAGGAAAAGTATGTATATTTTAGTCCAAGTATCAAATCTTGCCTTTCAATGCAACAACAACAAAAAAATAGAAAAAGTAAAGCCCAGCCATTCTTTCCAGAGATACCTTGGTAACCAGCAATATAGAAACTTCTACTGGACTTAGCTTTGGAGAGGAAGAAGCAACTGCGAATTCCTCAATTTTGTCAAGAAATATGATGAAATAGAATTAGGAAAATATATAGTGTTTTTTAGACACTCAAAACAGTAACTTCATTCCTATCTTTTGCTTATGTTGCCAGCATCTAATTCTCCTTTTCTATTCCAACAAGAAAGCAAAATTCCCACTCTGAAGCCATAGTGAGGATAAACATTTCATTTGCTATCTTCTGTGACTTCTATGTAAATTTTTCTCTGTCATGTAAATGCATGAAGAGACTCTCATGGAATCAGATAACTCCATGGAAATACTACACCTACGCTCCCATTATAAATTGGGGAAGAATATGATGGTGAGGAAAGTGACACAGAATTATTCATTAGTTAAAACAAAGGAACGTGAAATTGCTTTTAAAAGAGAAAAAAATTGAAAAGAATCTTAAACTCAGGCTGATTAAATAAAACTTTCATTTCCAGTCATGGCAGACATCTGTTCTCTGTTGAAACATCCCTTATCCCCAAGTCCCTCTTCTTCTCATCCACCCTCCACAAATGACTTTGTTACCAGGAAAATCTATTCTTATCTTAAATTTGTTTAGGGACCATACATTTTATCCAGTTTTTAGGTAATAACTAATTTTTGGATTGTATAAATCAGTAGCTTATACTTCTCTCTTATACAAACTAAGCTTCAGAAGGCCATCATGTAAGACTTAGTTACTAACATCTGTAAGTACACCTGAAAATAAACACAGACAGCTGGGCCACAAAAAAAATTTTTTTTTTTTGTTAAAATAAAGCCATAAGAGATGCTTAAAAAAACTAAATTTGCCTTATTAGAAATGTATGTAACACATGATTCAGGAAAAAGCATTACTTATCTTTCAACAGAACTGGTGAACACTTTGAGAGATGTTGTATGGAACTCCAGAATTTACCTTCCAAACAGTCAAAAAATATACCTTAGAAATATTTCCCCCCCAAGAAAATGTCCTACATATTTTGGTTAAGAAGACTACATAAAACAAGGATTATATTATGTAACAAAAGTTACTTTAAAAGACATACATACTATCAGTTTCACAGGACAAACATAGTGAGTAAGGACAACAAACTCCAGAATGTGTTTTTATAACTGTAGTAACAGCAATAACTCCTTGGCAAACTCAAACAGTTTTTCTGGCAATCCTTGAGGTTTTCTGCATTTGTCACTTGGATACAACTGCGGAAGGGTTGTCTAAGACTTCTTTGTTTCCTTCCACACCATTTTACTATAACTTTGCTTTTAAGAAAAAAATTTTACATTTCAACCTATGGATGCATAAAAAATCCCACAAGGGGGTTTTATGCAAAATTCTTTAAGCCTGTATACACCAAATATGGTTCCTATGTATTTTTTGCAAGGAGTTACCTTGTAAACTTTTAAAATGTATGCCAACAGAATATTATTTTTTTCTCTTTTAAGAAGATAAAATGAATTCTCTTTATGAATTAAAATTACCTACATATGCAAATGTAATAATTTCCTGTATATATACAACTAGGTCTGCACATCTGTTATCATTATGAACATCTTTTAAAATAAGACCCCAAGGACAGGAGTGCTTTACTAACCTGCAGTGGTCTCTGTTTATCACTGCTCTTAGGAGATTTCAATCCACTTGTTTGCTGCTGTAAAAGAAGTTGTCTTGCTGCCTGGAGAGCCTAGAAGTAAAAATGAAACCATACCTAAATATTTTGTTGAAAGTTATCAATTATCTCTTGGTTAACAGTAAAAGGATTCAATGTACAAGAACTCCCATATTCCTTTCTAGAGAGAATCATTGTTGTTTATCTTCTAATACGAAAAAAAAAACTGCCAAACACACATATATAACTTTACTCAGAATCACAGAGAAACATGCAATCCTGCAGGAAATAAAGTTAATTTGTTTAAAGTGCTTAAAGAGGATAAAAATCATAAACTGCATCAATAAACTCATTTCCACAAGGAACTTGTCTTTGAGTGTTCAACTGAAATGCCCACTCCCTTTTAAATTATCATTCAATTTGCATTTTCATATTACAATTTTGAGGCAAAAGCAGTAGACTTCAAGTGTTACCGGAAGCTGTAATTAAATTTGACAAATCAACATCAGATTATCTTGAAAGTGAATTAATAAGGATTTTCACTAAAGATTAAAAACACTTTTTTTGTACTTACAATTCAAGGGGAAACCTCTCCTTTGACAAAATAAAGTGCAGTTTTAATGCCAAATAAAATTGAGTGGTTTTCATTTGCATTCTTAGCAAAATCAGAGAACAAAGAAATTACCACTCAACCAATCAGGTTTGTTTCTATGTGTGACAGAATACCAATCAAAATAGAAGATGTTTTCGTTTATTTTTATGTTTTCTTTCCCACTTAGGAAAATAAAACTTAACATAAGAAATTAATGTAAGCATTTCATTTAGTGGAGGAGGAACAGTTCAGTAAATGTACTATATAAACTTAACATGTAAAAGCTAGTGCCATAGACCAAAAATGCATAGTAAATTCTTCTAAAGGTAGGAGTATAAACTAATTAACAAAAACTTTCAAGAGTCTCTTAAAAAAATCATTTTCTCTCTCAACAACTGAGTTCAATGAACACTAATGGGGAAATTTTTCAAGACATAAAACTAACCTGTATCATTGGCCTACTATGTTATTTACTGCTTTTGAATACAAGATACATTTTTCACAATGAGAAAACATTATTGGATTAATATTCTTCTATAATAATCAAGAATTTCAGTTGATAAAAAGTACAATTTTGATTGTAATCAATGATCTGGTTTTTAAGAGAGTTTCTAGTATCCATGACAACAGTTGCTTTGACAAGATGTGCATATGGCATTACACTGCCAGCTGGTGTGAACAATGTTTGAACTACTGCATTGAGATGCTGAGCAAACAGAAAAAGTTGCCACGTCTTAACCCTCAGGGAAGGCAGTCATCCCCTGATCAATTATGAAAAGACAGAGAGGGCTGCTACAGTCTGGCTCCAAGCAAGTTTTCTGAAAGGCAGGCAGACATAGAAACCAAAGTAAACAAACTGAATGCACTAGCACCATCTCCTAACAACATTGATTTGTCTTCCCATAGCAGGATCTGGCATAGTTTGTAAAGCACACTTTTTACATTTGGAGACACACTCACTCACGATAATCATCTTTGTTGTTGTTTTTTAACTTTTCAAGTCATTACAAATTAACCTAAATATTTCTAAGGATGGCACATTCCAGTGAACTCAGGGAATTTATTATAGAGTTCAGTTTGAAAAAACAAAAAAAAATTCATAATTACTTTATTATCATAAGACTATTTGAAACTTTTTGTTCAATATTCTAAATAATATATCCTTCCTATTTAAATTATAACTTATAAAGTGACTACAAATGATATTTTTCCAAATGGAAATTACAATAGGTGTCCTAGGCTGTGTCTCTGAAATTCTCAAAATAAAAATGCATTCAATTATTTTTCCAGTTGATGCCTAATTGTTTTCATGTAGTTTTTTTTTCTTTTTGAGTTGATGAGTTTATTTTGTATACCTATTACCTTAATTTATATTAAATTATGTAGTTATCTATTATTCTTAAAAAATTTTAATGAACACTGTTTAGGATCTTAGAATCATGAATGACAAGGACTAAAAGCAATCTTAAAAATCATCTAATCTGACCTTTTCATTCTAGCAAATAAGAAAAACGAAACCTAGAATAGTCAGTTGCTTTGTTCAAGATCACAAAGCAATTTATGAATGTTGTTTTCAAGGTCTCCTGGCTTCCAGGCCTGAGTGTATTCCAGTGTGCCATATTGTTTCTGTTCTGTTAAAGGAATCATTAGTAGGCAATGAGTAAGATTCTAGTAAAGGAGAATATATGACATTATAATGAATTATTCTTCACCAGTAAAGAGAGCGTATTCATTTTTCAGACTTTACATGGAAAACAACAATATAACCATTTTGTTTTGAATCTGTAAATGAATAGAACAACTATCACAGAATGTATATTGTTTTTATGGCTACTGCCCCCATCATCCTTAACTTGGATTTCATTATATATTGATACTTCCCTGATGCTTGATGGCACTCTAAACTTTTGTAACATCCTGATTATCTGATCAATTATTACTATAGAACTGCACAATTCTAGAGCTGGACAAGGCCTTAGAAACTGCCTAGCCTACCTTTCTCAAACAAGTAACTGAAGAATCAATACTAGAATAACTTGATTGAAGTCACAAAGCAGTAGCAGATCCTGGTCAAAAACTCTGGCTCTTCTCTCCCAAGCTTGGGACCCCATCCATTTTACCACCCTCTGTTATATTCATTCAACAAAACCCATGTAATCAATGGAATATGTCAATGTTATGTAACGTCTGTAGACAAACACTAGAAAATTAAATATATTACAAGTTTCACTCATCAAAGTATCACTAGTCAAAAGCATACACCTACACTGTTAGGAAAGGAGTGATAATAGTAATGAAATATCACAGGATAGCTGGCTAAAAAAATGCTTCTACTTTTAAAGTATTTTGGTTTTCATATGCATTTATAGTTCTCTCCAAAATAGCTGAGGATCATCTTTTAATACAAACTCTTAGGAAAAATAACTTCTTTCCTATTTCAACATTCTCTTGGTATAGTAGAGATTGCTATAGTAAGCATAAGAGATGGGAGAACAAAAAACAATTCCAGGAGATCAGGAATGATTTAAAACTCATAAGCAGAAAGCTCTGGCAGTTTGCATTCTCACTGCATGCATCATATGACATTTTTATTTCCAGTATTCTGGATAACACTTTAAGACTGAATTTCAGCAAACAATTGCTCAGAGACATTTAGTTCATCTTTGCAATTAATTATTATAGCTACTCAAAAAATGAAAGATTATTAGATAAAACACTTCCATCAATATAAAGTGTTAGGTGTCAAATGACACAAAATATTAATTTAAAAATCACTTGCCACTTCTCTCAATACAAACAAAAGATTAAATCCAGGGCCATTCATAAAGTTCTCTAAGCCATCCAGTCATTTATATGGTCACCCTCCCCCACAAAAATTAATTTAGAACAAAAATAAAAGTTGTTTACAAAATTTCCTTTCATAATGATTGAGTCTGTTTCCAATGTATCAGAAACAAGAAAGAGATTTCGAAGCCAGCCAAACCATATCTAGTTTCCAAAAACACATTTGTTTTTAATTAGGGGTGCACATTACTTAATGAAGTTATCCTATTTTAGGAAACCTAAAGAAAATTAAGATAAGACAAGTTAAAATTTGAAATCAGGTTAAATTTAAAAATTTGAAAAAAAGAAATAATCTGTATAAGACACTAAAGGTAAACATTTTGTTAGACTGCAGAGATGTGGGAATGCACATATTTCATAATTTAGTGCATTGTTCTCTGAAATACTTACTGAAAACATCATTCCTAACTCATACTGTGCAATTTTAACTAAATTTTTGTACGAAAAGCAAAGTTCAAGCATACTTCTTCACTAGTAGTAATTTTATGCTAGTTATGAACCTCACAGAATAATTCTAATGAGTAGGTCATGGTGATAATTAACTAAGGATAAAAATGCTTGGTAACCTGTCAGATAAATACTTTTTTCCACTGAAGAACACTGAAAACTTTCACCAAATATAAAATTATTTGAGAATAGCTTAGAAATACCCAGTAAAACAAAAAAATGTTGAGTATGCTATGGCTTATAAATAACTTTTTTTTTCAAAGTAAATACATGTATATTTGGGGAAAAAACAGACATCAGTCGTATCTCTCCCCATAAAAATAGGAATGCTTAACCTATCAGCCTGTTGCATTTGAGACATTAAAATGAAAAATGACATCTACGCCCATTAATATCTTCAATGTATAAACAGCACAGCGTGACACATTCTTGAGAGCTGAAGGCTACAAAATCTCTCTGAAACATAAATAACAAAGCACTCAGAAGCATATTTGATGTTGATATTCATCTCTGAGAAAAACACTGTTGCCTAGGCTTCTTATGAAAATAGATGCAGCCCAAATGGATCTCCTGTAATTGGTTTCAGATAGCGAGGTCAGAAGAAATATGATACAAGAAACGATTATGTGGAACAGGCGAAACAAGAATGTTTACACAGTCACTCCCTAGTTATACTGACAAGGGGTGTATACTTTGCAGATAACCAGAACCAAAAAAAAATTGCCAGCAGGACATCCAGATTTTTGCTCCTCATATTCATATAGTTTAACCTTTAACACATTATGTCTTCAACATGTTACTTTGAATACGAAACATAAAATAAGTTTTCAAACAGAGTTTAATTTTCTAATTATTTTCCCAAGTGTGGTTGATAAAAAGTATATTCAGATCCTTCCAGAAAGGATATAAATTCGTATTCTGTTTGGCCTTTTTTCATATTATGCTCCCACTAAAGAGAATATACTGATAAATGTAATCTGAAGTCTCATAATATTATTTAATAGAAGAAAATTAATCATCTAATTGGCATAACCTATTTTCAAATAGCAATCTATCAGAGTAAAATTATGCATCTGTAGCTATTGACCTTCTATTTTTCCATCCTGACACATAATTAGACTGTTTGTTTAAAAAGCTAATTATTAAAAAATATTTTTAAAAAGATATTTTTACAGTATATTTTACATAAAGT